TATAAACACTTACACTTTACCATTATTTTCACTTATTTTGGCCTTTCTTCATTAAAAACAAAACCCAAAGAAACTCCACCAAGAATCTCAAAAAAAACCTGAAGCTTTAGATGGTCTCCCTCCCATTTTTCCCATTTAGAGCCTCTCCCTCCCATTTCTCCAGAAAGCCGGTTCCTTTATCGGTATGTTGATATCAGAAAGGTCCTCTCAATAAGAGACTGAAATCAACTGCCTGCTGGTTCCACACTGGACCTGAGTCAGACCTCCAGAGCGGCCCGGAACAGGTGTGCACCTTCCAGTCCCTGCTCACCTTTCAGGGGTCCCTTCCCACCCACCTGCTCACCTCACTCCCCCAGTTGTCAGACAGGCCGGCACAGCCACAGGAGCCCCGGTCTGGGCTTCACTTGCAGCGCCTTGCCACAGACACAGCTGATCTGCCTCGGGGGCTGTAAGAAGCACAGGATAGGAGGGTGAATGCTAAAAGCAAGATATTTATGCCAATATGAGAGGCACACAGAGACTCTACGTATCAGTTAATAGTGACCTCGACATGTGATCCAGATTTCCAGAGATTTCTAGGTATCTGGGGTGGAGTCCCCCATTATTACTACCACCTCAGGTGACCGCATTATGAAAAACTGACTTAATCCAGTCAGTCCTTTGGAACATCTGCCCCATCTATCCGCCTCTACCTCCCAGCAGGTTGACAGCTGGACCGCTCACCCATCAGGCAGCCGAAATAGCCGGTGTGGCCCTTACCACCCCAGCACCTGCTGTGGTTGGATTTATTACATGCCCACTTGACATCCTACTGTGCTCTGGGAATGAAGGCTTCCACAGATGTGCTCTGTACTAGGTTCCAAGGAATGTGGGGGCAGACAGAAACTTCCATCTTCCCCAGCAAGGATACACACCCTCCCAGTGGGGGCCCAGTCTCTTTCTCTCAAAGAGAAAACTGTGAGTCTCATAGGGAACCTAAGCTATCATCTCATTCTCATCCTCCAGGGGTTCAATTCCTTCCTCAGTGGGTCACTTGTGGAAAAGGCCCTCCAAGCCTCAGGGGCACTTACAAAAAGCACACAGGGCACTAATGTCCACGGAAGAGCTGGAACATGCACTACATCAGTCAAGAGCAGGTGGGGCAAGGCTAAGATGCCTACCTGGCCAGGTCACCAAGGCCCAGGCAGAAGGGAACAAAGGCAGGAGAGAGCACAGAGCCACTGCTAGCTCATAAGGTCCCTCTGGGCACATTTGAAAAACATACTTTTCACGGCAGATGCAGTCCAACATCAGGGTGCATGTCTTGGTGCGTGGTGGAGAGGCTAGATTTCAGCCCCTACGTGCACTGGATGCCCCTGTGCGATAAACCACTGGACCAACTGCGGCAGCCCTGCTCCGAGACAGCAGCAGGCAGACGGTGCAGAAAGAAAAAAGAAAGGCTGCAGGGGCCATCCAAGGCCCAACACAAGTGCCCCCCCACTCCCTTCCCACTAGGCTCCCACAGAAGCCCCATCCAGACTGACCCCTACACTGCGGCCACAGTCACTCCCATCCCTTCCTTCTATCTAGATTGTCTATTCACTTCCCATTCATCCTTCAAGCCTTCTCAAGTCTCCCCCTGCAGGAAGCCCTCCCTGACCACCCCGCTTAGCTTTGGGAGGCACACAGTGCTCTTCAGTTCTGCTCCCTTAGTGGGGCCTCAGCACTTCTCTCAGCCAGTGCAGGTCACCGTTCTGTGGCTGAATCTCCCTTGTCCCGAGACGAGGTCTGCCTGACTCTCCAGGGAGCACCTGGCACAGGAGATGCTCATAGCGTATTTACTGATTGTGAAGGAAAAACATGGAACGCGAACTGAAAGGACTCCTAAGTCTGACCCTCGTTTGACCACCAGTGATTGATCCCTGGGTAACCTAGAGAAAAGATCTCCTGCCTCAGGTGAATCATCTTCAAGGAATCATCTTCTCATTGAACCCTAGGCTTATGAGACTCAGAGCCCATGGCCCCTATCAGCCAGTTTTTCACCCCTGTTACCCCAGGGTCTGGCATAGCACTTGGCTCAGAATAGGAAAGCAATGTATATGGGTTGCCTTAGTCTCTGTGCTTTGGCAACCTGAGGGTTTAACTTGGTGTTTTATTTAGCAAACCACTGACTTGGCACCTGGTCAACTCAAGCAAAAAAAGCCCCACTAGGAAAAAGCCTACTATGGGGTTTTGCATACAGTCAATGGGAAGCTGAAGAACCAGGCTCGGAAAACATGGGGTGGGGGGATCAGAACCTCAGCTGAAGGCAGGCCAAGGCAAGCGCGAGGTCAGGACACCCACTTGGTCCTGGCCACCTCTTCCACCACTGGCCATCAGCCCTTCCAGTTTGCTGCCATGACACAAGTATGCTCTGAGCTTTCACCAGCTCAGACCCTAAGTTCCAAGTAGGGCGTGCACTTGACACCACCTAAGTCACGTGGTCACACCATAATTACTAAGAATAGGAACCTGCATTCAAATTCCTGAATGAGAAGGCTCTTCAGGTGCAAGGCAACCAAGAAATGACAGATGGCCACTCCAATGACCCTATTCCCATGACTAAACAGATTCTCTCCTCCAGGCATTTGGAAAAGGAGCTGTAGGATGTTGAATAAAGCTATGTCCACCCAGAACCTCAGAGTGTGAACATATTTGGAAGAAGGTTCTTTGCAGTTGGAATGAAGGTATAATGACCAATGGTAAATGTCCTTACAAAAGGCGGAAAAGCAAAGACAGAAACACAGAGGAGGAAGAGGCGGAGATTGAAGTGGCACAGCTACAAGCCAAGAAATGCCAGGGATTGCCAGGAACCCCCAGAAGCTAGGAGAGGCATGGAACGGCTTCTCCCTCAGAGCCTCCCAAAGGAGACAACCTTGCTGACAACGTGATTTCAGACTTCTGGCCTCCTGAACTGAGAGAGAATAAAGTGCTATTGTTTTATGGCCTCTCGTTGGGAATATATTAAAGCAGTTTCAGGAAAATAGCACAGGGACCCAGAGAATGTCATCAGTTTATGGCCCGGGGAATGCACCAGGGCCATGGAAGATGAAGCAGGGACAGAAACAGAGGCAAGAAGCAGAGTGAGGACCCCAGGCTCCTGCAGGCTCACACAGACACCAGCCGCCCTGGGTTCTGGGAGATGCCCAGTATCACCCACCAAGTTCTCACTCCTGCATAAGCTGATTGAAGCCACTTCTTGTGACTTCCAACAAACCTCAAGCCCTTATCTAGGACCAGGTCCAGCCTTCCTCCCCACCCAGGTTGGAAGCACATGTGGGGGGGCAGCAGGGGGAGAAGAGCGGGCTGGGTAGAATCCACTGAGCCAGAAGACAAGCACTGGTCAGCTAGTCAAGGAGGGCTCTGCTTCCAGACAGCACGCCGTCCAGAAATGGGGCTCCAGGCCGAGTCAGTTCTGGGGACAGCAGGCCAGGGACCAGGCTGAGTTCACCACCCACACATCAGCAGGAGGAGACGGAAACTTTGCCGACAGGTATTCATTTTGTTGCTGGCCCCCCTTGCCCATAATCTGGTACTGTTCCCTAGTGACTGTTTTCCCCTAAGTACAAACTTGGGGGGTCTGTGCCCCTCTTGCTCCAGCATGAGCTCTGAGGCCAGAGAAACGCAATTCCCGACCCTCAGTGAAAACTGTCTGCTAGAAGAGGCGCTTTTACATCACTAGGGCAAGAAGGGGATACGGGCAGAGGAGATCGTCTGGGTGCTTGCTACCCTCTCTCCTGACCCTGAAGGCCGAGTCCCCTCGTTCTCAGGGGCTGCAAACCCCTCCCGGAGAAGCAGAGCGCACGAGGACGGACCGCGCTGAGGTAACTTCTGTTACAGAGAGTGCTGGGGAAGGTGGTTGGGGTGAGTGAAGGGTGCTCAGACAAGGGCTCTATGCAGCTAGGGGATCATCCTTCCTGTACTTTCAGCACGGCTTCTCCCCGCACCCCTGCCACCAGGTGAAGGTCAGCAGAGATCCCCTATTTTTCCACCAGCCTGGGCGAAGAGGGGGCGCCTACTTCTGCCCTCTGCTCCACGATCCTCCCCCCACTCTCCAGTCTATTTACATAAGGTTTTCTCAAGATGCCAAGGGCGCTGCATCCGAAAACCACTCATTCGGCCCTCCGTTTCCAAAGCGCCGTCCAAGTGTCCCACAAACACCATCTCACATCATCCTCAGCTAGGTAGACTTGTGCCCCATTTTACAGATGGAGAAAGTGAAGTAAATCACTTGCCCAAAGTCACGCGGCCACTCAGCAACTGGAGAGAGAAAACGCACCCCGGCTCCCAGCCGGCTCCGGGTTTCCGCAACACATTGCGCGGCTCACGCTCTCCCGCCCGCGCCCCGCCTCCGCATCCACCCCAGCGAGGGGCGCCGGGCCCGCCCCCGGAGGAGCGTGCCTGGGCCTCTAATCGCCAGCCGCCCCCGCCTCCGTTTCACTGCCTGGAGACGCCCCGGCCGGCTTAGGCCGGAGACGGCTCCCGGGGCCGCGCGACGCCGCCGATTGGCCCGCGGTAATTACGGGCACGCTCCGGGAGGGGGAGGGGCGGGGGCGGCCCCCCGCGAGCATAAATTATGCAAATGTCCGAGCGCCGCACGGGGCTGACCTGCCGCCTCGCTCCATTCACTGGGGCTGCTGCGGGGGCGAAGGTGGCTACGGAGGGGGGCGCCCATTGTTGCGCCAGATACTTAAGGGGTCCTGAGGCCGGTCGTGTGCCACACTCGGTACTCACACGAGCTGATCTGGTCGCCTGGAGATCACTCGGTAGACCGGCCGGGAGCGTGGTCCCTGCAAGCGAGGCGACGAGGCCAAGTTCCCCGTGCGCCCCTGCGCTCTTCCAAGGCCTTCTCGCCCACAGCGGCCACAGGGTGGGCGCGGGACGAAAAGAACCCCAGTGCGCCTCGGTGACCCTGCCCTCAGCCCGGGCTCCAGCCCTCTAAGCGCCCTCTTATCTGTCCTCGGGTCCTGCATAACGCAACCATGCCAGCCCCTCTCGAGACCTGCCTCTCGGACCTCGACTGCGCCGGCAGCAGCGGCGACCCTTCCAGCTTCCTCACCGACGAGGAGGACTGTGCCAGGCTCCAACCGCCTGCTTCTGCCTCGGGGCTGTCCGTGCCGGCCCGCAGGGGCGCGGCCGGGATTCCCGGGGCGTCGGATGCCCCCCGGGCGCAGGACGACGAGCAGGAGCGCCGGCGGCGCAGGGGCCGCGCGCGGGTGCGCTCCGAGGCGCTGCTGCACTCGCTGCGCAGGAGCCGGCGCGTCAAGGCCAACGACCGCGAGCGCAACCGCATGCACAACCTGAACGCGGCTCTGGACGCGCTGCGCAGTGTGCTGCCCTCCTTCCCCGACGACACCAAACTCACCAAGATCGAGACGCTGCGATTCGCCTACAACTACATCTGGGCTCTGGCCGAGACTCTGCGCCTGGCAGACCAGGGGCTGCCCGGGGGCGGTGCCCGGGAGCGCCTCCTGCCGCCGCAGTGCGCCCCCTGCCTGCCTGGGCCCCCAAGCCCCGCCAGCGACGCCGAATCCTGGGGCTCCGGAGCCGCCGCCTCCCCCTGCGCCGCCACCGCCTCGCCACTCTCTGACCCCAGTAGCCCCGCTGCCTCCGAAGACTTCGCCTATGGCCCCGGCGACCCCCTTTTCTCCTTCCCCGGCCTGCCCAAAGACTTGCTCCACACAGCGCCCTGCTACATCCCTTACCACTAGGTCCTTTCTGGACACCTTTTCCCTCCTCCTCCCTAGGCAACAGGCAGTATGGGGCCCTAATTGCGGCTCCGGAACCCCCAGTCCAAGCGGAGGGAGGAAGCAGGAGCTTTAAAGGGGGAGGGGGACACCTGAGCCGCTTGTTAGGTCGCTGCACGCTTGCAGGGGCTGCCCCTTCGTCTGTTTCTCCAGCCTTCACTCTCGGGCCCCTCCTGCCCGCCCCTAGACGGCCTTTCCTTTCGCACTTTCTGAACTCCACAAAACCTCCATTGTGGCTGGCTCGGAGCTGACCCCAGCCACCACTTCAGCGTGATTTAGAAAAGGGACAGATCAGCCCCCGAAGACGAGGTGAAAAGTCAATTTTACAATTTGTAGAACTCTAATGAAGAAAAACGAGCATGAAAATTCGGTTTGAGCCGGCTGACAATACAATGAAAAGGCTTAAAAAGGAGAGACAAGGAGTGGGCTTCATGCATTATGGATCCCGACCCCCACCACTGCAGGCTTGTTCTAGGAAGAACCCGAGACCCTTGCGCAGCTATTCAGGCACTGGGCTGGAGAGTACTTTAATTTATTCAAGATGTTTCATTCATATGAAAATGTATTTTTGTACATAAAGAGTTTATTCTATTATGAACTATCAGAGTTTACATTTTTGTACTTCAGATGTTTCGTGTAAATAAAAACTAAGTAAAAAATAAGTCATCAAGTTTCTTGCCTAATGTCGGTGTCTCTCTGGGGCTTTTCTTCCCTTCCCCTGGCGGCTCAACCACTAAAGTGAAACACTATCCCCACCCACCTTCAAACCCTCCAGCCCCATTTCAAAACAATTAAAAAATAAAATGCACCTGATTTCCACCAAGTAAGGGATAAAGACAGACTAGGGCATTTGGGATCCATCATTTCCTTTCACCTTGTAAACACAAGGGAGATCTTTGAGGCTCCCCATAAGCCAATTAAGACTTTTTAGTGGGGAATTAGCCCGGATATGCAGCTACCTGTAGAGGTAGGGGCAGTGGGAGAGTCTTTCTTTTGAGGAACTCCACGTCAGCTGGCTCTGTGTTTCAAAGAGAGGGGATTAAAAAGATCAATACAGTGTGACCACTGGCTAGGAAGTCCCAGTGACAGGTGGGCCCAGGCTGGGCAAGCAGAAGGGTCCACTCTTATAACAGCCTATTTAGAGGGAGAAATTGATTTGTAAACAATGCCCCCAAATTGTAGTCCATTGAGGCTAGGATCACCCTGGCTGTGAGGTGTGGGATGAATTACGCTGGTGTGGTATCCCTGGGTCGGGTGTGCACCTGCCTAAAATTGTGAGTTAGGGTGTCTGCACTCCCCCCGCCCCCCAACACACACAGTTGTGTCCACGTGGCGTGGCAGGAGGATATGCAGTGGGCTTGGTCCTGGCTTGCTCAACCAGTCCTTAGGGGCAACAGCCAAAGCTTTCATTTGCTGCCAGAGAAATCAGCCACCCAAACTCAGTGGGGGATTTTTCTGGCTGCAACGTGTTTGTCTGTTGTCTGACAATTAGCTAACAACACTGGCCAGTGGTGGGTTTTGTTTTAAATTTCAGAATGTGGATAACTACTAAAGACACTTCTTTAAATGTAATTGCTGCCTGTTCCCCCAGCTGACGAGTTACCCCCCATTAAGAAAAACTTTTTCACTGGCTAGCTCCTTTTCATGAACATAATTACTTAGTGGGAGGAGGCAGAAATGGGTTCAAGAAAATATTATTCTATAGAGTTAGAGAAACCATACCCGTTTAGGAGGTGAACAGAAGTAGAGGGCCAGATGTAAGGCCACCAACAGCATTTTCCCCTTGTGGAAGTGTTTTCCTTCCTCACACACATGTCCTGAGTTGGAGCCACAGATTCATATGTTGGGTCCCCAGGAAGCATTAGGAAGCCCAGCCATGGGCAAGGAGGCCTCCTTCAGATAGAAAGGGTCCTGTTCAGATGGTTCTGGAAAGTTGAATACCTTCTCTAACTGCCCTCAGGGCAAAAACAAAAAGTCCTCCAAGAAAGATTCATATGCTCTGAGGGTTCAGAACGGAGTTGCTTCTGCTAAAAGCTCTGAGGAAAAAGTTGTCTTTTGAATGACCCTGCCTGCAGCCCCACTCTATTGCCTATCTCAGAATTAATTCACTCTATTAGCTTTGCATTTTCCTAGAGCAAAAACAAAAACCATCTGTATCAGATTTTCTTCTCTCCTGTGCGTAGGATGCTTGGAAGTGACTCCCTCTAGCTTTCGGAGGGGCTCAGGTCAGGTCTTTGAGAAGCGCAGGTCCCCTATGGTGACTCTGCTCCACAGGTGTTGGGGCACATGTCTTGGCCAGAGGAAGAAAATGGCTGATTATATTTAGAATTGCTCAAAATCCTCGGGAAAACCACCTTTAAATACCCCAAACACCCTGGGCATCCTGGAGCTCACAGTAGGGCCTTTGTCCTATTTACAGTTGCTCAAAATCCTCGGGAAAACCACCTTTAGACACCCCAAACACCCTGGGCATCCTGGAGCTCACAGTAGGGCCTTTGTCCTATACAACTGCATATAGCTAACATGGAAAACAGGAAACATCACTACCCCAAGACCGAAGAAGAACAAACTGTATTTTCAACTTTGTGGCCAAAATAGGCTCACAACTTAAGGTGCAGAGCCCAGAGCACCTTCCATCTAAAGAAATATCTCTACAACAGCGATTGCTGGGGGCCCATCTCCACGCCTGCCAGTAATACCATTCTTCCAAGGAAGCAAGCATACATTTTCTCCTCAAACAGGAGAAAAAAGGAAGGTGATTTAAAATATTTATCCCCACCTCAGGGGCCTCTTCCTGCAGCAAATGCTTGTTCATCCCCCAGTGTTTGGGGGTTATTAAAATATTCTACAGAGCATAGAACTTGCTGCTGACAACTATGTTTTACTTACTTCAACAGAATCTCCACTGAGGAATCATCAGGCACTTAGCAAGGTTTATTTTCTCACTGTGATCTCCCTGTTTGCTTCTGTCCTGGTGTAATGTGTATTTTTACACACTGCTTTCAAGCCTTGAGAACCTGGCCAGGGAAGATTGGGATGGCTTAGTAAAATGAAGTCTTCACTTACTCTCTCTTTTCTCGAATGATGCTATCAAGCTCCTGCTGTGTGCTAAGCACCATCCTAGACACTGTGGTGGCCAAGACACCCAGGCAGGAGCTCACTTAAAGGAGCTTAGATTCTAGCAGGGAAAGACAAAATAAGGTCATGACAGACTGTCGTAAATGCTGGGAGAAAAAATAAAGTCAAATAAGGACAATACAGAAGGTCAGGTGGGAGATAGGTTGCTGT